CTTTAAACGTTCACTGAGGCGCAGGCGGTGGCCCCCCACGCGGGCCGCTTCCCCCGCTCCAGGGGCCCGTGCCTTATTTCCAGGGAACCAGGGCGCAGGTGGCAAAGTGCCTTTCTGCAGCTGACAACAACTACAAGACGGGCTGCAGAGGCGGCTCAGAAAAGGGGCAATGAGCAGACCAGGGCTGGGGGCCTGCACGCCAGTGCACACAGAGGTACACACTTCCACTTAGTACAATTGGAAATGAAGAGTAAACTATTAAACTTGCAGAGAAGAACTTTGTATGAAGTAGAAAAAGTAACTATAAAGCCACCTTTTCTCTTTGACATCCTTAAAACATCTTGCAATATTCACAATCAGGTCGCCATCTGGGGTTCCAGAGCAAATAGGTATTCTTCCCCATTTAATGAATTCTGTACACAATTAGTGCAGAATGGGGGAGGGGCGTCATTCCAGATTCATTCATAGATATGATGACATGTCAAGCAAGATCAAATGAAATTCTGATCTTACCAACTCCTTGATAGTCAACCCAAAGCCCTCTTCTTGGAGATGTGCTACTGTTACCAAGTATTTATTCACTGAAATTTATATCCAGGCTTCCAATAAAATACTCAAGGCAAATGACATATTTTCTGACCTGTACAAAGGACGAGGCTCCCAGAAAACAAGGAGTTTTTTGAACAAGACTGTCAAAGGCCAAGCCAGGAAATACAATGCTGAGCCTCCACCCACCAAATGCCAAAAGAATTTTGGGTACTGCATGAGCAGAGCCAGCTGGAGCCAGGTCAGGTCAGACTAGATGGCCCAGGAGACCCTTCTGACGCGCTCTGTTTCTATGCTTCTCCCTGAGGGTGTGAAGTGCAGTTCAGCTGGGGAAAGCAGTGGCTGGGTGAGGGAAACATCCTTCAAAATGCTGAAGCTCAGCGTCTGACGACTCATCTACTGAACCAAACATGCTGACAATTCATGAAACACCAGGAGCAGCCCCTCCACTTGGTCCTCAAGCATTCAGGAATCCACCAGAACGAGGTGTCCTGCTTTCGGGTCTGGCTGCTCACTCAAGAGCTGGGATCCACCGAGCACTAGGACCCTGCACAAGCCACGCCGCGCACAGCTGCGCACTTCCCAACTGCACCATTTCAGCACCAACTGAAGCAGCCCTCCAAGGAGGCAGGTCTGCAGACCCCGCAAGAGCGCGAGGGGCTATTTTACACAGATGCCTCTTGACACCCATCTGATGCTTTTCTCTTTTAAGGCTGAAACGGAGCAACCCAAACTGCAAATCGATACAACTGAAGCGGTTCACTGGAAGGGTAACCATGGCAACTCACGGTGAGCTGAGGATCCTGCTGTCTGGGGGCTAGATCACATCCATCCAAGTAAGTCACCCACAACTCCATTATTCCTCTGCGAAACTCCTTCCCGTGCCCCCCGCCACGGCCTCTGCTTTCCGCTGCCGTGACCCATCTCACCTTGACTCTGTGCGTCAAGGCAAAGGCCACAGCCGCGCATCAGCCGCACGGTCGCACGTCCATCAGGCAGCTTTAAAGCTGCGCTCCCTCTCCCTTTGTCCTTCATTCTGGTCTTCCCAGCAGCAAGAGCAGTTTTCCTGTTCTTTAAGATAATACTCTTATTTTGGAATTAACCTTGGTTTTGCCCCTCTACCTGGCCAATTACGTGTGGCTATCAAGCATTTACAAAACTAGATCATCTACGAAGGGGCACCTAAGCAGAGCCAAAGGAAATGGTATTTTCCCCGTGCTTAATAACCTGTAGGCCAGGGACACGACCTGCAGGATGCTGGCCCCTGGCAGAGGGTGCGCACCGTGGCAGCCTGACAGGCAGCCCTCCCTCCCCACGCACGGGAACAGGCACGAGCAGCTCGGCTGGGAAGCCAGGGGGCCTTTTCCCTTTCCCCACTCCCAGCGATCCCGATGATTCCGCGTCTCCTTCTGCCGTCAGCACCGCTGCTGCAGCTGCTCTGTGCTGGTAGAGGTGGGGGTGTCAAAGCACGCTTGGGGGCCCCGACGGGAGACTCTGCGGAGGGGACGCCAGCAGCGCGCCCGCTGCAGACCCGTGGCAGCCAGCAGCACGAGGTCCCCCTGCAACTACTGCTTCCTATCGACCCTTATGCGAGAGCATCAGGCTGGCTCGTCTGGGTCAGACCGAAAGGCCCCTCAGGTGCAGCATCCACTCCTGCTCCCCAGGGAAAGCCCCCAGCTGGGAAGGCAGGCAAGAGCCCTCTGCTGCTGCTGCACATGAGCGGACTCCGCCTGTGGACCACGAGGTGCACCTCCCCAGCGGCTGCGTGACTGGAACGTCAGCGGAGCCCCGCTGCAAACGGCGCAGCACCTCTCCAGTCTGCACTCTGTGCCTGGCATGGCAGGGAAGTGGCATTGATGTCTACTTCTCTTTCATACTGACTGATAAATCCTCCACAAATCTGTCACTTTAAAGTTTTCACTTTAAAGCTATTTAAGCCGCCAGCTTTCTTCCTACGCTGGGGCAGCAAATTCTGCCCCTATGACTTGGCCTTCCTTTTGCCTGTCTTCAATCCAGTTTCATTGGTTGACCCCAAATTCTCAATTATTATACAGCTTTTACAACTATTGATTTTTTGCTAATATACCTCTGTGAGATGCTTCCCTGAAACTTTTCTTAATTCAAGTTGCCAGGCCCTGAGGAATATAAAGCCAGCCCACCAGAAATCCTGTCCATTGTGCAGAAATGGAACTCTGTCCTCATGACACCCTCGGAAGCTCAAACCATCCACAACTTTTCCCCAGGAGCCAGTCCTTCCAAAAGGCCCAGCACCTCTCTAGACCGCAGAGATCATGAAATCCTTTAGTGCCCTGAGAAAGTCAGCCACTGTTGCTGCTTCTCTTAAAAACGGCATGCAGAGGGAACGTGGGACACGCAAGCAGCAGCGAGCACAGCAACCAACTTGTGCAAAATGAGAAACTGTATCAGTGTTGGGATATTCCCAAACCACAATGAAATTTATGTTTGTTCTATTTGACTTTGGAATAAATGGCTGCATCTATACAGGACAGCCTCTCTTCTAATTATATACCATTAGGAGGAATATACCATTAAACGTAGAATTTGGGCTCCAAGAAGAGAGTTGGAAGGGCCCCGTGAGTCCATCAAGTCCACCCCTCCCCACTCAGTGCAAGACTCCAGTTAATGCATCCCTGCCTGTCCAACTGCCTCTGGATTGTCTGCAGTGTGAGAAAGCTCACCACCTCTCTAGGTCTTCACTTCCATCGCTGCACTGCTCTGACAATCAGGAAATTTTTCCTGTTATCTAACTGGAATCTGACTTCCTGCAGCTTATGCTCATTATTCCACATCCTGCGCTCTGTGATGACTGAGATACTAGCCCTCCTCGGTATGGCTGTCTTTCAAGCATCTGAAAAGTGCTATCATAGTTCCCCCAATCTTCGCAAGGCTAACTATGCCTGGCTCTTTCAATCTCTCCTCATAGAACTTTGTTTCCAGTCCCGATTATCATTGTTGCCCTCCTCTGAACATTTCCAGTTTTTTGTATCATTCTTGAAGCCCAATTAACGTAACTAAACATAGCATTAGCCTTTTTTGCAGCTACATCACATTGTCGACTCATTCCCACTAGTGATCTAGGACAATTCCAAGATCTTTCTCGCTTGCAGTATTGCTGAGCCAAGCATTCCCCATCTTATTTATTTATTTATTTAGCAAACTTATATGCCCCCCCCCAGTCACTAAAAGCCTCAGGGCGGTTTACAAACATAAATATACCAATACAATTATATAAAATTGTAAAAAATTGGAGACATCCTGGCCAAAGTTATTAAAATCAATAAATAAAATCAGCAATTAAAGAGACGTTTAAATAAAAAGGTCTTGGCCTGGCGCCGAAAAGCAAATAACGACGACGGTGCCAGGCGGACCTCTCTGGGGAGCGCATTCCATAGGTCCACCATCTTGAAATGATGCACTTCGTTTCTTTTTCCTAGGTGTAACACTTGGCATTTCTCCCTACTGAATTTCATTCTGCTGTTTTTTTTTTTTTCCGATTTATATCCTGCCTTTTTCCTACAAAGGGCTCAAGGCAGCTTACATCTCCTCCTCCATCTTATCCCCACAACAACAACCCTGTGAGGTAGGTTGGGCTGAGAGTCTGTGACTGGCCCAAAGTCACCCAGTTGGCTCCATGGCTGAGCGGGGACTCGAACCCAGATCCTCTGAGTGCGCTCCAGCCTGTCAAGATCACTCTGAATCTTGTTACTGTCCTTCAGGGTATTCTTTCCCACCCAGTTTTCTGCAAATCTGATCATTGTTCCCTGCACTCATTTTGTGAATGAAGTCGTTCATAAAAGTGCCGAAGCGCTGGGCCCACGGTGCCCCCCTTGCTGCCTCTCCCCAGTCGGAGAAGGGGCCACTGGGAAGGACTCTTTGAGTCTGAAGCCAGCTGTGGGTTCACCCGCTCCGTGCTCTGCCTACGCCCTCTTCGCCAGCGGGCTGCTCAGATGCCCTGGGGCCCTCGGTCAAAAGCTTTGCTGCAGTCAAGACGGATCCGCCCCGGCATCCCCGCGTCCACCAGGGAGGCTGCCCTGCCCTGCCCTGCCCTCTGCGCGCCCGCTCACCCTTCCGCGGACGCGCCGCCTCTGGCACGGCGGCCGCGTACTCCCCGCTCGCCTGCGACATGCCCGGCATGCCCGCCCCCTGCGCGCGGCGGGGCGCGAGCTCGGGCCAGGCCCGCCTCGTTCCTCCCGGCCCCGGAGCCGCTCGCTGCTCCCACCCGCAGCCCGGCAGCGGCAGCTCATCCCTCGAGCGGGTCCTCCA